CCAAAATACCTTATTTGACCAAGGTAAAGTTATAATGCATCATTAAAAGAATTTTATTTCTTATATTTGATATTTCTGTAGGCACCTTCATTTACTAGATCTTGACCTTAAGAGACTAAAAGAACCATAATTTTGATACTTTTTTACATGAGATAATTTCAAAATTAAATTCTTTATCAAATCTGTCATGAAAAAATCAATATGGAGGGAAGCAAAGTGTTGAACATTGAATTTCTAATTTTGTAACTGCATTCATGATTTTAATGAACATAAAATTTCATGGAATTTTAAATTGTTTTATTATTATTATTATTAACATAAAAAAAGCAAAGGAAGAGAGATATGTCCTTGATTAGGCCTATGTTAAATTAAAAAATAAAAAAAGGCAAGTGATTGAAAGTTTTTTCCACCTTAAAAAGACTGCGAAGATGAGAACTATTTACTATGGTCACACTTGCATGGGACCAAAAAATGAGAAAAAATTATATGTAGTAATTACAGATCTTTACTGAAAAAGCATTTTAAAAAAATTAGTGTTGGCACTAAAAAATAAGGGTCAGTACGGAAAATGGAAACAAAACAAAACATATTTATATCAAGGCCTTAAACGTAGGAGGAGTTGATGATGGGAAAGTTGAAGTCATCCTTTGTTTAATAGGTTAGTTGTTGGAATGTCAACCTCTATACTCAGTTAAAAGTTCAAATATGAAACAGATGTGGCATACTCTGTGGTGTCTTTTATTTCAAGTTCACTGATACATAGTGAATTTAATTTAACATTTGAATGAATATATATATTGTAAATTGAAAAGGGTCTAAACAATGACCACAGCAAGAGTTTTTCTTCTCACATAGAAAATTAAGACTACAACAACAGGTGGATTATGAAGGAGTGCAGTTTGTGCCCATGGGAATTCCAATAGGTTGCTGGATGAGTTTTCAAAAGCTTAATAGTTATTTTCAATGAGGAACTTCTGCATCTTTATAATGATATACTAGTATTGTTATGATGTGCTACATTGCAAAAGACTGCTTACCAGTCATATTGCACACATATGTTTGCCATGTTTTCTTTCGTGTATTTTTTAGCTTAAATTTTGCAGGTCTTTTTATTTATATTGATGGGAAAATTAAATTACCACCCAGGCAGCATTGCATAGGGTGACATGAAAATTTTTGAAGAGGAATCTTACTATAGATGTGCCATTCAGTAAGGAGAATGTTTAAAGGATCTAGAAAAGGCATACATTAAACTACATGTACATTGAAGAAGTCAAATAGAAATGGACTTTTCCTCAGCATCGATGTACTTAAAAATACTCTTCTTTACACCTAATTATATTCATAACTTTTCAAGTTATAAAAATTATAAGTGATAAGAAGGGCACTTAGTTTTTAAATTGTGTTTGTATATTAAAAGTACGGTAATAAATGCCCAAAAGTTATCAAATGCAGAATAGTATTAGAAATGTTAGTACTTAAGGATTTATTTGTAGCTCTATTTCATCCAAACTCCATGATTTCTGTGCAATCTATGTATTTGTCAGCATTTCCAACCTGCTAATTAATGTACAAGGTGTTAATTTGCAAAATTACTCGCTGAAATTGGAATTTTTTAGTCAGTTTCAAATTTTGGTACTATGGTTTGCAATATGTCTTGAATTAGAAAACAATTTTTTATTTTATCTTCAGGTAGGCCGTAGAAAACAGAGAACGTTTTTGGCATGTGAGTTGCTTTTGCTTGTCTATCATACAGTTCTAGTATGACAGATAGAAACCAGTAAGCCCAATTTAATCAATTGCAAATTAATTATTTCATCAAAAGAATGGAAGTGGAAAACCTTTTCTTTGAAGATGGCAGTTTTATACTAGGTGATTTCTAGTTTTTGCATGTAAATGAAAATTTCTTCTGTTGTTTGTTTCACGCATCACTAAACACAGAGGTTGAGAACATTGTGCTCATTAGGCATAAATCGTCAGGGGGTCGTAATATCGCGCATCACTGGAGATTTAATCTCTGAAAGGCTTCATCTGCAAGTCATGCAGAAAGGCTTTCCAGTCCGTTAAAGTTTGTCTTTATGCATCCCTGCCCTCTAATCTTAACATGTGTGCTCATGCATGAATAATCACAAGAAATGAAAAATAAGTTTTTCCAGATTTTCTGACAAAAAGGAATGTGAAATGCTGCTTTTAGGGGAAAAAAATGATTTTATGTACGTTTTTACTTATAACACATTCATGGCTTAAAAATTTTGTTAGCAGCAATGGACAATGTTGTATTGTACCGGTAGTATGTCAGCAAAGAGAGATGCATATATTTTTTATTTCAATTTTAAAGGTTAGAAAATTATAAATGGGTGTGGAAATATTTGTAAATCTTATTTTTTCTTCATCTATTTGGTTTCGCGCCACTTGCAGGAAGCCACGTGTAATGAATAGAAGCTGCCAAGATACTTGATGCTGTACGTTCTTTATAGAACACCCAGGTGTGATTTGCGAACTGATGATAGGTTTTCATTTTTCCCTGCATTATGTCAAGTTTCCTGCAATGCCCTGTAGATTAACATGGCTTGTTTGATTTTGAAACTTGAGACAAACAGAAATACGATCGTTTTTTTTTTAAGGAAATCTCATGGTAGGTGTTGGTTGAATGTGTTGCTTCACTGCGACAGTCTGGCAACTGCATCAACTGATTTTATATTGGAATTTAATTAAAACTACAGTGTCACTTCATTTTCTCGATGTGTCCCCACAGATTCAGGGATATATTATAAATTAAATAGTGCACCCTTTGTCAGCAACATTTGAAAAATATTCAGTCAGTATATATATGAATTTAATACATTTGACTTAAAATGGAAAGGATGCATAATAACATTGAACTATCCCTTTTAGACTTTTATGTGTTTTAGTCAGTGTAAAGTTAAAGTAAAGCAGTTGTTTTTTATATTTATCTTTTAAAAATACTTTTTGTGAATGCTAGTCCACATTTTTATTTGTATATAAATGAAGGCATAAAACATCCAAGAAATCATTAACGAAAATCGATGCTTTTCTGTCAAGCCCTGACGATCTCTCTGCTGGAAGCTTATCTCTGTGAATTAATGAAGCATGGAAAATAAAAACTTCTAATGACGGAGCAGTCCGTAAGTTTAATGATCTGCCACTGCTCCTGCAGGCCACGGTTTACTGAGCGTCTACTGAGTGTCGTGTTGGTCAGCCTCCGGAACCCAGACTCCGCTATAGGTTATAGTACAGACGTGATGCAAGTCCTAGGTCTGTCACGTCACTTGTTGAAATGTTAGTAAGCATTAAAGGTCTCTTTGAGTGACAGGTCAGACATTTTATTTCCTCATTTTTCAAACTATAAGTACTGTAGTGGGGCTGTAATGGTACTGAACATGAATCTCTTTGAGAAGAGAGAGAAAGAGGGAAAGAGAAAAAGAGATTGAAAAGGCGGGGGGTGGGGATGGGAAGGAGACAAAAACAATGGAACAAAAAAAAAAGACTTGGAAGATCTTTAAATGACTGAGAAATGTACTTTTGATGTAATTTTCAAATTCTAGAAGTACTTTTTTAATGAAAATGAAAGTTATTATGAGGAAGAGGTTTTGATCTTTTTGAATAAATTCTATTTGCATTTTAAGACATCAGAATGACTGCTTGTCAAATCCAATCTCTCATTAGCTACCAAGAAAATTTCCTCACAGCCACAATGGCATTTATTTTTTCAAATTCAAGCAGCAAGATATTCATTTGAAAGACTTAAAATTCGATAGAATTGATTTTAAACGTTCAAAAAAAGGTTGTTGCTATTTTGCAATATGTGACCAAAAAAAAAGAATAGGTGGATTACACGTATTGGATTTGCTTGGGAGGAATTCCTAGTGCACTACGCTCCGTAATGATTGATCTTTATCGGGTCATTAATCTTGCATTATTGTGTGTTATGGTTAAATGCATTTTTGTTGGATTTACAAGGAGATTTAAAGCACTATTGACCACGTGAGACCGATAAAGGAAATCAATTAAGTCCTCAAAATCGTAGTGTTCTGGCAGTGACAGTAGTGAACGTTGGCCGTTATCTTTTGTGGGTAAATGTAGTCAGGGACCATGGCTGTGATAAAAGGAATGTTCCCAACTTTTTATTATTCTCCCACTTCACCTTATTTTTCTGGGTATAAAAGAGTTAAATTGTATGTAAAGAAGTCTCTCTGTTTGTACATGTAACACATTTTCCTGATAGTCAGAGTAATGAAACTTCCGAGGACAAAAGTTAGGGATAATTTGTGATGCGAGTTCATTTGCTTACTATTGGAGATGGGGGAAACATAAATCATTAAATAAAAAGTTACTGGCCATTAAAACAAATGAATACAAATATAAAACAGAGCTAAATATTTTTTTTACAAAATTCTTTTAATTAAACTTCAAATATAATTAATTAAACTTACCATTAAATATATACATACATATTAAATTTATGAAATCACTGCTATCACTTATTTATATCAGTATACATGGGACTTGGATAATGGCTGAGTTAGGGATGTAGATTTTGATATTGTAATCCGCCCACAAGCTTCAGAATCTGATTTAATCCACAAAGCACTTGAGTATGCATGAACTTACTGTAGCTACTTCAGAAGCAAGACTATTGAAGGTACTTAGAAAACTATATATGCTGTGCATAATAAATTACTTGGAAATCTTAATTAAAATTTATACAGTTTATGATTTTTTTTTTTCATCCTTTGTTAGGAAAAAGTGTGTCATTAATTTTTATGGATTTAGATGGAAGGGCAGGCAGAAAAAAAACTAAGGCTCAGGCAAACAGAGTTATTAGCGTAAATTATAGATTTGCCTTGTCAAGACACACAGCTGCAAGCATGAGTGCCGCAGCTTCAAATTACCACACAGTTTACACTCCACCGATTTTTCTGATTGGGTGAGTTTGAAAAGCCAAGTTCTGGCAAGCTGTTATTGCCAGAAAGCAGCCATGCATAGCAGCTGTTAATTCATTGCATTTTATATTTAGCAGGTATAACTAAAACAAACTGAATAAAGACCAGCAGTTCTAGAAAAATTTTGTTTGTATTGTACGCACTCACCTCATTTTGACGTTTAAAAAAATTTTTTTTCTGAAGGTTTTAGATGTACTAGGAATTTCTGAACTTGTTCGGATTATTGTCATGCTCCTGGCTGCATTCGAGCTTGGAGTGTTGAGATATTGATTTTGTGAAGAGAACATACTGTATTGAGTTACTGTGAATTTTTTATTATTTTAAAGGAAATATCAGTGGTACAAGTGTCAAAGTGTGAGGTGGGTATCTACTTTCAGTTTTAATTATTTGTTAATGCTTGAGGTATTTTTATACCCATGTAATAAGGAGCCTCCTGCCTTGCCATCAGGTTTCACCTGTTGGCATTAGATATTCTATCTATTTATCAAAAGATGTTATCTTGATAAAAATATAATTTCTCCATCATGCCTCATTTATTTTATGTGATAATTTTTCTTTTAAATGTACTCTTAAGCCTCCTAAATATCTAAGTTATACTTAGTCAAGTTAAATTTTATCTTTTAAGGAATGTAATGATTTGATTTTTCATTTTTTTTAACAATATCCTTTCTTTTTATAACTTCAATTCCATAGGTCATAAACATTTTTTTTTCCAAATGCAATTTTATTCATTTGAACAACTTCTAAAAATGGACGTTTTTAAAAAATACACACTTGACTTAATTCATAAAAAAAGATTCTGGTTTTAAGGTTGAAGTTACATTCGTTGAATTGAACTTCCTTTGGACTGGATGATTTTAAAAACTTGAAAAATGTCATTAGTGGTACTAATTAGAACTGATTTTAAAGAATTAAGGATGTTACACTGCAAACTGAATTTAAAGTCATCAGCAGTCTGTGAATTAATGAAATAATGATAACCAGATTATATGATGGTTACATCAGAAATAGATGAAATTGGATTTGGTTTTCAACATCAGTCCCTGCTTAACCTTTGATTAGGGTAGTATAAGTTTGGGTACTGTATCCTATTGGTTCATCAGGCATTAGAAGATCTGAGGGTAAGGTAAGTGTATCTAAACAGTACTGGGTATCTCAGTTAATGTGTCCTTCACAAAGTCAAAGGAACTTAAATGGATGGTAATTTTTTTTTTTTAAACAAAGTTAAAATATTGATTATTAAAAAACCAAAATGTATAAATTTTCAGAAACACATCAGAGCCAAAGGTTCAGGTCAGCCTTTTCCTAAAAATTTTCTCTGCCTCCTGTGCATCTGCTGTGAACTATCTGTATTATATTCCAATAAAGGGGAGGATTCCAAAATTTTCATGTACCATCAAATCTATAGATTTGAATATTGTAGACAAATCTTATAGTGTTTAAAACATATCCATCAGGGGAAGCAACAAATTAATAAAAGAAGTAATCCCACTTTTCAGGTTTTCTTGATGAGACTAAACTGCCAGGTGAGCATCATGACCTCTGAGCTTCTAACTCAATATTTAGTTTGTTTTTTTCCCTTAAAATTTTGATGGAGGAGAAAGTAGCTAGTTCCTCATATGTTTTCCATATGATAGAATTATCTCCCTTGTCATGGATGAGAAGATTTAGAGCCAATTTGTGGCATAGTTCTTGGTAGACAGGTAGGGTTTGGTAGTCATAAGGTGTATCCATTCAGTGTTTATCGGTGCTTTTTCTCATTCACCCGAAATAGATATATTGACAACACGTGTTTCATGCTCAAGCCCTTATCAGCATAGATTTATTGAGGTCAAGCATAGCCATGACTATGTATACGCACTTCCAGGTAAGAGAAACATTGCTGCAGTTTGTGAAATTTATCAAAAAATTAAAGAAGATGGCTTCAATTGCCTTTTATGGTGACAAAATTCATGTTTATAAGGGATATTGGTACTAATATGCCAGGGAATTTGTATGCTTGCAGCTGATACTAGTTTTATTTTTCTCTAAATCAGGATGCAGCACAGATGATCAGGTAAACCATATGAAACAGTTTTAAACCATTTTTGACATACTTCGTTGTACTGGTTGTTATTTATATCTTCTATGGTCTTCAACGCTTAACTTAAAAGATAAGTTTTGTCTCTTTTTACTTCCTGTTTTTTTTTCATTAATGTAAATTGTAATGGTGTCTCAAGTACTGAGATTTTTTTTTAGTCAGCTTTTCATATTTGCTCATGCAAATATTTTTTGATAACATACAATTATTTTAAAAAATCTTGATGAAGAAGTTTCTACAGGTATTTAACAATCAGTGGTTGCTTTTCCTGCACATCTAGGTTATGAAAAATGTAAGCTTTTCATTTCACACTCTTAATACAGTACATATCTCATTCAGAGAAAGTAAATGAGTTTATGATAAATAAATGCATTTAACAAGTCATTAAATTTTAATCAGAGTTTTGATTTAAAAAAAAGAAGAAGACTTTTTATTGTATATTTATTACTTTTAAATCTAAATGATGCTGTATTCTAAGTGTTAAAACCTCTAATTTAACTGCTTAAAAACTGGTGCATTCTCAGTTTCTGCAGCAAAACAGCTTAAGTCCTCTGTTGAATATATTTAGATACAAATTAATTTCTTTGACACTAATTATTCCTGACCAGTTGATTTTAATTCCTAATAAGTCCGCAGATTCAGAAATTGGAAAGTCATAACAGTAAGAAGTGTAAAGATGATTAAATCCGTCCCAGCATTACGTAATATTGCCGGACACTGAACAGAATCTTCCTAATCAGGCTTATACTGAACGCTGATGAAAATGGATGGCCAATCCGATTTTTCGGATAAGTTGCATTGTTGTTCTTATGCAACTGAAATTCAAATTACCTTCCCCTACAAGGATGTCTCATTTGAGGGCATAGGAATTTCTAATCCAGGTTTACTGAAAAGTAATTAAAGATAAAAGCCATGGGAACTTTCTTGTAATTTGTTATCATATCTGCAAGCTACAAAGTTGGGAGAATTTAAACATCACAAATGCAGAAAAAGAAGAAAAAGTTAGCAGTTTCTGACAAGCAAGTGGATGTTACAGAGTCACAAAACAAAAAGATACCTATACACATTAGTTACTATGTAGAGTATAGTTCTAGATGTGAATCAACAACAAAGAAAACTTAAGAAAACTTTTACCTTGTAGACACTCAAAACATTCTATATGTCAAAATGTTCTAATCAACTGCTTCTTTTCACGAACTCTTGTTGATCTGAAAAATATAAAGGATACTGCTACTTTTTATTCTGGAGAAGTTTATTTTTTTGTAATGATGCAAGATGTCTAGATATCATTCTTGCAAGTATTTGTATTAAAATCAGCATCTAAAATTTGTGACGATTTTGTCTCTCTAATAAAGAATAAATGACTATTTCATGAAAATATGTTGTCACAAAAATTTGGTCCTTTTCAGTCCTTAAATGTGTGTGTACATTGATACAGAACAAGAAAAATTTGAACCACAAAACATACTGTTGGGAAATCTAAGCTCTACTAGTAAAATACCAAAGAAAGAGAATGTGTATTGGTCCATGCATGCTTATTCTTTTGTTATTTTACTTTGACAATTTCTCAATAAATCTTGATAAGTAACATCACAAGAAGTCTACATCAAGATGGTTAATATACTAGTACATGTAATTCTATTGAATATTTTTATTTTGGTAGATTATAATACTTACATGCATGGTTACTAAAATTATATTATCTCTTTATAATTCTTTTGAAATGATATTCCTTATGTAGTTTTGGACTGATTTCAGTGAAACTCAGGGTACCTAAGTGTATTAGTGGATTTCATCAAGATATATACAATGAAGCGCATTGAAGTGGTAAAATTTTCTATTTGGATGAAACGTTCTGAGTCATGTTTTGAACGTCAATTATAACATAACGACACGCCCATTTCTTTAGAAACGAGAAAGAAATATTCGTCGTAATGTTATAGGACACTCCACTTTCCGTGACAAACAACATGAATTACCCTGAAATGAAGATTTCTAAATAAGAAAGAGCTATATATACAGTCCCCTCTTCTGTTAAACATGCATTGCAACGATTTTGTACATAATTATGATTTTATTATGCTTATTGGAGTTAGCATAACACATGGATCAGTCGAACACGTGCTTACTCGGTGTTTATAAAGACCGTCAATTTGATTGGCTATTATATTTATGAAATACCTGTTCTACAGGTATTCGATTGAATCATCTGACCGATATCGATTTTTACTTTCTAAAGCGTTCTTGGGCGTGTCTAAAGATAGCTCAAAACGTTCCATCCAAACGGAAAATTTTACCACTTCAATGCGCTTCATTGTAATTTATCATGATGCTCCTTTTTGTCTGATTTAAAGAAAGAAGTGTCATTTTACTCCCCCCTCCCCCTTTTAGATGTTTGATGCAAAGGGGAAAGAATTATTGAAATCAGTAGAGCTACAGTCTCATCAGAATCTTTTAGTTGAATTTTAAACCAATTTCATAAAAGCAAAATGTTTTTTCAGTAAATAATTTAAAAGTTTACTCTGTGGTTCCGGGATAGATAGTGGTACAAAAAAAGTGGGACAATGTTTCTTTGTTCATGTATAGCTAGGCAATATTCAGGACCTACATTATTAGAATTAATTGGAAATGAAAATTGAAGTCCCTGTTTACCTGACATCACGAGCACAGGAAGTATGCAGCAATTTAACAATATAGTTAATGGACCTTAACGTGCAATGTCATGCCTGAACGATTATCCATAGAACCCTAATCACCCAAATCCTTGCAGGGCCATGCTATATTTGCATAAACAATTACCCTGTTGTAAATACCATGACGTTCCATGCACAAATTCAGAAAATTTAATGAAGGGATTAATGCCGATTGCATTTAAATGCCCTGGACCATGAACAAAGCAGGAAATTGCCTCTCTTGAAAATATCAAGAGTCAATTTGTTACAGTGATAACAATCCTCTAAATTCGTGTTCTGAATGTCTGGGGTTACGGTTGATTCCATGTCATTTAACAGACAATAAATTCTTTTGAAATTACATTTTTGGAATATGCAAATATATGCTTTCATCTGAAATCTGGATAAACTGTAATCATTTTTCACCTAACAACCATTGTTTTACCAAAGGTGACTTGATACAGTGTATAGGATATGTAAGGAATTATTTGCATAATTTTTTTTAAAAAAGTCATCCATTGCTTACGGATAGTTAATAATTTTCTAAATAGACTTTAATCCATACTTTGCATTTAGATGACATATAAAATTTTTATTAATTGGATTTTTCTGTAGGAAGGGAACCCTGTGATATCAGACGTGGTAGCCATAGAAACGTAAACCTTCACCATGTGGACCAGGAAAATGCCATAACCTCGCTTTGGTGCTAGAGTGATTTTTCCCTGATGAGACAAGAATTACATCCCTTGATGGTTGATTTGCCATGATGACAGCAGAAGTTATCAACATCCAGGTCAAACAGGAATCCTCAGACAATGGTCACCAAAGCACCGCAGCCTCCAAGGTGACAGAGCCAGAAGAAAATGGGGTCCAGGTATCAGGGGAAACCACCTGCCAGCTGGAAACGGCACCACCTGCAGTGTTTGTCCAGGCGACCACCACCCAAGACAGTGGCAGTATCAGCGCTAGTGAACAGTTACAGCGTATGATTCAGCAGCAGTACCTAGTCAACCTCATCCAGTTTCAGCAGTCCATGCTGCAGGTATGCCTGTTATTTTGCATGTTAGATCACTTACGGGAAGCAAGTAAAGTAAAATTTCCTTACCACTAAACACTAACTAGGTTAAAGGTGTGGGAGGTGTATCTAATTTCAAAATAAGTTTTATATTTCTGAGAGATTGCTGTATTCTAGTATAACATTGGACTCCCTCAGGCAATAAGTAATCTATGTCAACCTCTTTAGCAGACTGGACAAGCAATGCAGCACCATCAGAATTTACTCTCAGCCATTGACTTCACCAAACTGAATCAGGAGGCCACAGCAACCTCCGAGACCCCGGTCAATCCAACTCCTAGTGAATCCGGGGACAAAGAAAAGAAACAGGCCAAGGTCAACATAGAGGGTCTGCTGGAAATTGGGTCAGATTCAGAGAATACTGAGAACGAGGACGGAGTTATTGGAGATGGGGGTGATGACCATGAAATGGGGAAGGGTGGCAGAGAGAGAATTCGACACTCAGGTAGGTTCAGACATGAGACCAGTGTGAATAAAAGATAATTTAAAGATTAAAGATTCGCTCACAATGTCAAAGGCCATGACATCTGTTGTGAAAATTATTTATTTATGTTTGATGTTCCTACTTTTGCTAAGATTTTCTCAGATTACAAATTTGTTACATACATGTAAGCTGCTGAACTTTATAGAGCTACTCTATGAACTTTAAGCTTAATTATGGTGCAGATACAAACGTGACTGAATGGGGAGGCTTGTGTCCTACTGATACATCTAAATAAGATTTTAGTACATGTAGTATTGGGGCATGTACCATATAAATATAGGCAATATCACAGCATAAAGTGATTGGATATTGGTCTGGATAATTGATGGGGTATGAAACATATATATTATTTTTGATAATTATGCTTACTATTGTAGTTGGTGGAAGAAATATAAACCAGTATGGCAGGGAGTTTACAAATGGACGCCCCCTTCCTGATCATTTAAGAGTTCAGATTCTACAGTTAGCTTTACAGGGTATTCGTCCCTGTGAAATCAGCAGGCAGCTACAGGTGTCACATGGGTGTGTCAGCAAGATTCTAAATAGGTACTGTGGACAGTTTATACAGAAACATGTGTAATATACATTCATTTACAGTAAAACTTGTCTAATCTGGGTATTGTGTTTTCTGAAGTCTTGCCTATTACAGTGATTTTTTTTTGTTTTTACCCTATCTGTTAATATTCAGTTGTTAAAAATTCTATCTAATTTGGAATATTGTTGAATCAAGCAATTTTCTAATAAAACTAATGGTGTCTACATTAGACAAGTTTTACTGCATATCTATGTATTCCATCTATATTTATAGCAAACTTTTTCTTAAATTTTTAAATAAAAATAGAATAAATGATTTTGAATTATAGTTGAATTTTGGGAATAAAATGACCATATTTTCTTATGGAAAATTGCTTTTTGGCTTTAGCTGTGATTTTGGGTCATGGAAAAACACTGTACAGTGTGTATATGTATATTCAGTCAGTTGGTGTCGCAAATTTATGGGGCTGAGAAAAAAAAAACAGGATTCAAAGTATTGAAGTTCATGACCCCCCCTCCCCCCCCAAAAAAAATTGGATCGGATTTTCAACTTCTGATGATATCTATGGTATTTGAGATATTGATGTTCATGATAGTGATGATCAGGCACATATTATGAAAGCAGAAACATTTTTTTATGTATATCGAGACAATTATTGGTGATATTCGACCCTGACAATTTTTCTAATACATATAAATGATTCAGTTAGGGTTTTCCCAACATCAAGTCTTAAGCATTTAAAAAAATGAAAAATCAAATGAAATTTTTGTTATTTCAAAATAAATCTAGTACTTTAATCAGCTAGTATATACTGTGAAATTGCTAATTTTTGTGGGTCTAACCTTTGTTGTTTTTTAATTATGAAAACCCATGATTTTATATTCAGCACAAAATGTATAACTATTAAACACTTCTCCAACTAGGAAATTAAATCCCCACAAATCAATATTTTCTCAAACCTTGAAAATTTTACCTAATGAAAAAGTTTTTCACAGTATTTTATATCTGTAGTTTGCCTCTTGGTGCCATCAAAACCATTGTTAGAGTTTAATTCTATTAGATTTTTTTTCGTTCACTTCAGAGTAGGTCCATTTCTAAGTAACAAAGTCCTTCTGGACCAAGTGTGCATGGAAATTGAAAAATTCTTGTAAAAGAGCAAGTCTGAGATGGTTCTTTTATCCAGTTAATGTATTAAGTACTCATCTTTCTTTTTCCATTAATTTTACCTGAAATTCTCGAAAAGGGTTTTTGCACAAAGAACCTAAAAAGTAAGGCATAATTTTTTTCCCCGAGCAATAAACAATTATTTAATTTTTAATTTTTTTCTGGATTAGAAAGGTTTACGTTTATAAATTTTTCCAATATCTCGGACATTAATTTAGTTTCGGATATTATTTCTAATGTTATTTTTTAAAATCCTTACTTGTGGAGAACCTTTTTAGGTCACCTGAGTAAACTCAGGTGACCTATTGCTATCTGTTTTCGTCCGTCGTCGTGCGTCGTGCATCGTGCGTTGTGCGTTAACATTTGAACATTTTCAGCTTCTTCTCTGCAACCACTGAACCAATTTCAACCAAATTTGGCATAAAGCATCTATGGGTGAAGGGGAACAAAAATTGTGAATTTCATGATCCCTGCCCCCCTGGGGCCTGTGGGGTGGGGCCAAAACCACTAAAATTAGTGCAATCTTTAAAAATCTTCTTCTTTACTCCTGGAAATCAAGCAGTCAAACTGTTTGCATGATTGTAATCAGCAATGAGTCCTCTACCAAAATTGTGAAATTCATGGCCCTGGGGTCAGGGGTTCTAGTGCTAGGGTGGGGCTAAATAAGTAGGTAGTGAAAATGCATTATTTCTTTGAAAATCTTCTTCTCTGCTCCTGGGTATTAAATAAACCAACTAAGTACATAGTTATGATGAGCAAGAGTGCCTCTACCAAAATTGTGAATTTTATGGCCCCAGGGTCAGGGGTTCTGGTGTTAGGGCGGGGCTCTATTGATTATGTAGTGAAAATACATGAATTCTTTGAAAATCTTCTTCTCTGCTCCTGGGTATTAAATAAACTAACTAAGTACATAGTTATGATGAGCAAGAGTGCCTCTACCAAAATTGTGAATTTTATGGCCCCAGGGTCAGGGGTTCTGGTGTTAGGGAGGGGCTCTATTGATTATATAGTGAAAATACATGAATTCTCTGAAAATCGTCTTCTCTGCTCCTAGGTATTAAATAAACTTACTAAGTGCATAGTTATGATGAGCAAGAGTGCCTCTACCAAAGTTGTGAATTTTATAGCCCCAGGGTCAGGGGTTCTGGTGTTAGGGCGGGGCTCTATTGATTATATAGTGAAAATACATGAATTCTTTGAAAATCATCTTTTCTGCTCCTGGGTATTAAATAAACTTACTTAGTGCATAGTTATGGTGAGCAAGAGTGCCTCTACCAAAATTATGAATTTATGGCCCCAGGGACAGGGGTTCTGGTGTTAGGGCGGGGCTCTATAGATTATATAGTGAAAATACATGAATTCTTTGAAAATCTCCTCCTCTGCTCCTAGGAAATAAATAAACTTACTAAGTGCATAGTTATGATGAGCAAGAATGCTTCTACCAAAATAATGAATTTTATGGCCCCAGGGTCAGGGGTTCTGGTGTTAGGGTGGGACTGTATTGATTATATGGACTAAGTGAAAATACATGAATTCTTTGAAAATCTTCTCCTCTGCTCCTAGGAAATAAATAAACTAACTAAGTATATAGTTATGATGAGCAAGAATGCCTCTTCCATAATTGTGAATTTTATAGCCCCAGGGTCAGGAGTTCTGGTGTTTGGGCAGGGCTCTACTGATTATATAGTGAAAATACATTAAATCTTTGAAAATTTTCTTCTCTGCTCCAGGGTATTAAGCAGATGAACTACCAATATAGTTATGATGGACAAGGGCCCATATCTTCCACAATTGTGAATTTCAAGGCCCCAGGGTCAGGGGTACCATAGAGGGGGGGTTGTACTTATATACTGAAAATGAATGAATGGTTTGAAATCTGCTCCTTGGTATTAATCAAATATCAAGGCCTAAGGGTCAGGGGTTCATGTATGGTAGGGGCACTACTGATTATTGCTGAATATTACTGATTAGTTGAAATGCATTTTGTGTTCCGTTACCCTGCGTATGGGTATTAAGTAAACAAACTAAGCAACTGCTAAGTGTATTGTTATGATGATCAATGGTGCCTCTTTCAAAATTGTGAATGCCATAGCATCTGGCTTAAAACATGAATCAAATTCAATCACTGGAAAGTTGTTGCATAATGCTCAGGTGACCTATAAGGCCCATGGGCCTCTTGTTCTCTGTTACTGTGATGGGACTGACAGTTCCTAGCTTAGATATAGAGACAGTTGATTGATTAACAGCAGTTAAACAATGTCACTGAAAACCACCCCATTTTTATGTAGGACTAGGATTAAAAACCAAACAGGAAGCTTCTCGATGAGAGTAAAATAAAATTGAAAATACATATTTCATATTTTACTACATGTAGAAATGTACCCAGTGCACTTTTTAAAATCTGATTTTAAGAAGATTTTAGATCTGTATATAAAAAAATATTAAAGCCATCATTGACAGTTTCAGATTCACTTTGGTGTTTTTTTTATCAGGAAAAGTTTACCATTTACTACGGTAACATGTAGAAATGTACCCAGTGCACTTTTTTTAATCTGATTTTAATCAGATTTTTTTAAGATCTTTATATAAAATTTTAAGTCATCAATGACAGTTTCAGAATCATTTTAAGTGTTTTTTTTATCAGAAGTTTACCGTTTACTACGACCGTTTACTACGGTAACATGTAGAAATGTACCCAGTACACTTTTTAAAATCTGATGTTAAGAAGATTTGAGATCTGTATACAAAATTTTAAGCCATCATTGACAGTTTCAGAATCACTTTGGTGTTTTTCATATCAGGAGAAGTTATTACCATGTTCATATTTCAAGGTGTATTTGGGTTGATGATACGTTTTGAAAAAGAAATCCTTGCACCGGTTGAAGGCATCCCTAATATCTGTGCAGCCATCAGGAACTGGAATTGCCGATTTGTGACAGATATTTTTGTCGTTTATTTTCCAGTCCATTACCTTTCATAGTCAGAAATCCACCTAATCCTTTTATAAGGTTGTAGTTTTATTCCCCTCATAAGTTAAAGAGTGACGCTTTATCTGGAGGCAGGCAAGCGTGGTTAGACAAATTAAGAGGCGCTTTTGAAATACACTGAACTTTGCTGTCACGGATCGCTGAATGTCTATGAACCAAGGGGTTGACATGCAGCGTACAAAGACATACAAATATCCTGTTCCTTGTTGGGGCTATAGTTCCATGAATACACACAGTTAAATGTTCACAGTGCACTGTTGTTTCTACTCTTTTGTTCATGGGTGATTCAATCTGATTGTTTAAATTACCCTGGAATAATTGGTTGTTAATGTCTATGAGGTCAGTCTAAATAATGCTTTTGTCTTGTTTACTTTCAATTTGTAAATTAAAAGGTTTAGCAGATATTTTTTTGGTCCCGTTATTTAGAGACACACTTAGTCCTGTCTGATGGCCGATGTGTTACGATATTGAATTTTCTTGTTATGAAATGTATGTTGTATACAATGTTTGAAAATAAATATGAAATTTAGATTTTTACTATGTACACAAAATGGGATGCATGGACAAGACATTGAAAATTAGTTTCGGCCTTAAATCTATCTTAGAACTTTGTATTATACATGTAGTTTAGTATAATTAACACTTTTCTAATCCCCATAATCTTGCAGAAATTTTTAGACTGAAGTTCAAGGTCATGTGTTGAATAAAACAAAATTGTCATGTGTTGAATAAAACAAAATTTCATATGTATACCTACATACCATTGTTAAATTCTTCTTTATGCAGATATAGAAAAACAGGAAGCATTAATCCTGGACAGATTGGTGGAAGTAAGCCAAAGGTCACGACCCCTGATGTGGTGAACTGTGTCCGGCAGTACAAGTTAGAGAATCCTCAGATGTTTGCATGGGAGATAAGACAGAAGTAAGTATACAAACTGCTTGTTGGTCAGTTTAAGGGTTAATTTTTCTGCTTCAGTTGTAATCTAAAAGGTGTACCATTTTTAAACTCTACTGCTTATAAGCTGCAGCCGTGACCCAGATGTCAAGGTCAAAGAAATTTGAACGTTTGTCATTGAATTGTAGAAAAAATTTGATTATAAAATGTTCCTTATTATCACTATCATGTTCAATAGTCAGTGCAATGAATTTGGATTATCTTCAGCATAAAAAGGCAGCAAGTAGTAAATCAAAATTCTAATTTCAGATATTTGCTTTAGTTTCGTAACATAAAGAGTGTATCAGAGACAGAGTTCTAGTAAAGTCTGTCTATACAGTCATCTGATTGCTTGATCCTTCAGGCATGACCATTCCCTTTTTTTAAAGGAATTTTTAACTGATATTCCAAATTATATATTCTTCCCAATTGAAAGAAATTCATGGAACATTAAAGCTTATATAAACAGAGTTCTTTCTAAAATTGGATTCATTTGGTTTTTTTAAAAAATATATAAAAAAAAAGATATGTGGAAGGTATGAAATAACCATTTGCAAGCTTTAGAATTGTTCTTGCAGAAAATTCGTATAGATTTGCTTCAGTGCATTCCAATAAATCATGGGGTCGCTGGAAGGTATTGATTAGAAGTCATGGTGTGTTTCGCTATTGATTGGTAGACTCTGCTGAACAATTTGTCGAGAATGAAGCAGTGGTGTGCAACACTGCCTAGATACGCAAAAATGGTCACAAGATCAGATAGTTCCACTTAACAACTTCACAATCAATGCCCAGCAGATCAAATCACGCCACAATTATTTCTAGAAATCAACCAAGAGATTTTATTTTTTTTCCAGTATAAACGTTTTCTTTTATAAATGACATTACCCAAGGACAAAATATATAAAAACTTATATACATGTAGCCAAAATATACTAAAATTTTATCAGCATCATCATTAATTTTAAACGATTAACATTCATAACATATTCTTCCTGATTGAGCAAGTACATGCATTTGCCATAAATCTCAAAAGGAGACCTTTTTTAAATAATCCATTAAATTAATTTAAAGTAAAAGCTTCGCAAATGTACCCATAGGAATTTCTTTTTCCAAACCCATGATCTATGAATTTAGTAAATACTCATGCTCTTTGAGGTATGTTACAGCAAAAGATTTTGAATTTAAGTATAGGTGTTAACTGACATATCCTTGTCATTTTGTTGTGGAGGACCATGTTTTTTAACTAAATATCATTATAGACAGTACCCTATATTGCCTTGTTATTGGTTAATCTAATTTACCATAATATGTTAATTTGGCTGAATATTTCACTGTTGCAGACTGCTAGGAGATCGCATTTGTAATGAGAAGAATATACCCTCCATCAGTTCAATAAACAGAATTATCCGCGACAAAGCCATTCTTCAGAGACGCTGCATCGAGGGAATTCCGGTTGTTGACTCAGATGATGTAAGCTTCTGTATGGTTCAGCATTAAGGAAGGAAAAGTGGTTTATTGAGTATCAAAAGTGACACGATATCTGTTTTGACCAATGAACTTATAGATAAAATATTACAGAATGAACTTTATTTATGATCATTAATTCATATAAATTC